CTCGCGGTCAGTGAGGGGGAGGGGAGCAGGGGAGACGTATACGCCGACAATATGCTTTGATGTTAAAATCGACTGATGAATGGTCTGGGGAAGCCTTTTGAATTTCGATATGTCAAAGCGAATATTAGCTCGAGGAAATGTGGCATGGGGCATGGAGCAAGGGCGTTTTAGTGCTCGATCAAATCAAAACTCAGGGTGCAAATTACTTGTAAAGGAAAATGGCAAAATGGTATATAGTAAGTGTGCAACTGAAAGTAAAATACAACGTGTAACGTTTCCTTAAAACAGCGAAGGCATGTTTTCCTTCTCGATTCAAATAAATTCCATTGTTAATTTGATAGTTAAATCATTGTGTTCTAATGCGTGCCAATTGCGCAATGAGTAGTGTGTCCGAAGGAAGCTAAGACTCGCAAGCTGAAAAATTATTTTGTTTCACCCGACGGACACTAGCACATTTTTCTACCTCATCCTACATTGAACATTTGCGACCAATCACCCATTGCTTAGTCATCCTAAGTGCTGCGTTTCATTTACCAGTCATCCCCTTAAAGAAAAATATAATTGTAGTACCCTCAGGAACTCAGGTAGGATGGCTGAGGTCCGGCCAAGGGGCAGAAGCGAAACGTGACGGGAAAAGAGAAACGACCACAGAGAAAAGGACCCCATGCCGCGTGCGAAGTGTGCAAACACCCTTTTCCCTTCTCCCCAGTTTTATGAGACTGAAATAAAGTCGAAGACACCCTGGGGGCCGTCAGAAAAGAGATCCAATGAAGCTCATGAAGAGACTTTTCTCTCCGCACATTTTCCGTCTCTTTTCTCTCTCTCTCTCACACACACGCGCGCGCAGCCCGCCGCGACCGCCCGGGGGCAGGACCATTGTCACGGTTCGACTAGGACTAGACCGCCGAGTGATTCGGGTGGTTTGGCGTAATGATTTGGAAAAGGAGAGAAAACGCGGCGCGCCGGAGAGAGAAAAGGAGGCGGGGTGGGAGGAGAGTGGCGGTTTCAGAATATTCATAATACCCATAATATATAATACTCCGTACACGGCTCAGGAGAGTGGGCGACCCCTCGCCACAAAGGCAATATGACGAAGAGAAAATC